AGTTGACAAAAGTACTTTTTTCACAGAACTCAAGGATTATTTAAAAGGTAAAAAAGTTCCTGAATTTCCCGCTGATACTGCTGATGATTATGCCAAATCAGATTATTTCTTTACTTTATCTCCTCAACATGTAATTGGATTTTTGGTGGCTTATCACATTAAACATGATAGTGTTAAAAAATCTGAAATTGAAACTGAAATGAAAGCTGATCGGAATCCGGCAGACCAAGCTAAAAGCTTAGATTGGAATCTCTACGGGGATGGAGCTAGTCCAACTGAAGCCGGAATTAAAAAATACTATTTCGAAAAACTCGCCGGAATTAACCATAGTTATTCCAAAAATGAACCTAAAAAGTAGAACAACAAAATGAAAAGGTTCAGATTTTGTAAATATCATATGATTTAATAATCGATAATTCAATAATATTTATTTGTTAATAACGTGAATAAATAAATACTAATCAAGTAATTGTATTTATTTTCTTTTGCAAAATACACTAATATCATTATGTCATTGTATTAATTATTACTATTATGGCTGTTTGAATGCGATTATTGTTGACTTTAAATGATGCTAGTAATTGCCATTTTCTATTGTATAATGATAATGGATGTTGTGCATTTGTTTTCATGATTTAGGGAAATTCATTTTTAAATATATTTTTTATCGAAAAAATGCATGTGTCAAATGGCAATTTTTATTTAATTAAACAAAGAAATGGGCAATTTTCCTGGTAATTGGGAATAAATAAAAAATGAATGATATGTCGCATGACCACTGCGTGGTTAATTTTAACAATGACCAATCCAAATTGGATGTATCTGTAAGCAAGATCGTCATTGTCATAATATTGAAGGATCTTATCTTTTGCCAATTTTGTTCTTTATGCGAGGGGAATGTGGTCATGTACAAAAACAATTGATATGCATATGGTCTTGTAATTGGTTGCCATGACCAACAGTGGCTTAGAATTCTATCATGACAACTCGTGATTTAAATAATATTTTTTTAGTAATTAATATCATCATCAAGATGAAAAAAAAAGGATTTTAAATTAGACATTGCATTTTCATTATTTAATCAATTACAACATTTAGTTTAATTCAATTATTAAACATTTGCTAAACATGGTTTTTGTTCACAAGTTTGAGTGTGAGCGTGAAGAAATGTAATATGCATTTCTGTACTTGGCACTATACTTCTTTAATGGATGTTCTTTTTTATCCTTAGATTTTGCCTTTTGCTACAATAATGACAAAATAGTTTGCTATTGTCGTTGTTATTGTTGCATAAATGGTGATATTGGTCCCTTGTGATTATTATTATTATTATTATTATTATTATTATTATTATTATTTATTATTATGTCAATAATAATATGCTTGGCGAAGAGCCCTAAAAAAAAATCATTTACCATTTGTACTTGATGATGCTGTCAATAAGACTCTTAAACAATTAAATAAATAGTTAAAAATCTTTCTTTTGTTATTAATATAAAAATTTATATTTTACTTATTCCTCTTACATTTTCTTTTATTTTTTGTAAATAATTTAAAAAACTTTCCTTGAATTATTATATTAATGTAAAAGACATTCTACACTTATTTTTTATTTTTCGTAAATAAAAATTATTAATCACTGGAAATGTTCTTTACTTTCAACTTGGAATGAACTAATAAAGAAGAATTTGAATCAGCATTTTTACCAGCAAGATCCACCCAATCTTCATATATGCTTAAGTTACCGGTGCAAGCATAAAACTTCCTTAATAATCATGACGATAATTATTATCATTAACTAAATTAGTCAAAACATTATTAAAATTTATCATAATTTATAGTTGATGGTGTTATCACAAAATAAATCCAATAGATTTGGTAACAAATCTATCTACTTACATAAATCAATTCCTCTTCAATGGTGCTACCATTTAATAAATAATTATCATCCATCTATTGTTCAAAATCCAAAACTTTCATTAATCATAAATTAAAATTTCATCATCAAAGTGCTCTATGTTCTGTTGAGAACAAAACCTTCATCAATTCAAATGTCCAAGCTTTGTTTATTAAATAACTAACTATCTTGGCAATACACTCTGATAGACAGTTGGTTATCATCAACAGTGTATTAGCTAGCTATATGTGCGTTACATCTAAGAGGGGTCCGCAAAAGATTTATTTATTTTTTCCAGTAGAGTTCCACATGAATACAAAGTTTTAAAATTCAAGATTAAATAATTTGATTATCTATTAAATTTAAATTAGCCAATCAAAAATTCTGGCGCTTGGTCAGTATAAAAGCTTAAAATATTAACGGAAAATTTAAGCATAATAATAAAAATAGATTTTTTATTTTATATTTAGAAAGATTTTTTTTTTTTAGATTCATATTGTGACACGCATACACTTTCTGGTGGCCAAAAACATCATCGACTATGGAATATTGGCGAATATTGATATTGTTATTATTATATTGTAACGTCTTTTGTTTACATGTTTCATCATGAAAAGAATGGCAATTCAATTCATTGTGAACGTAAATTTAAAAAGACTTTCCAATAGATGCGTGTAAGTAAAAAGGTAAGAATCACAAGTCTTTCCAACTCTTCCCAACTCTTTCCAGTTATATAAATAAGATTGTTTATAATTAGCGAATACAGAGCAAAATGAATTCAGGGGGAAAATTGTTTCATGTATATATATATATCTTTGACCATTGTTTGCAGAGAGAAAAGAAGATGACTTCTTTTTTTTTTAATTTTAAAAATTTAAAAATAAACATTATTTATTTATAATGCGAGTGATAAGCCATCATATTTAGTAGGTAGGTGATGAATATGAGAGATTATATAATTGATCTTTACCCTTTTCGGATAAGTAATTAAAAAATGTGGTGTCAACCACCCTTTTTTATTTTTGACCATTTTTGAAATCCCTCCATTTTTTTTTTTTTGACATTTATTCTCATTCTTTTAAACTTTTTTAAGCTTAATAGGGATCAATTGAATTGTATTAAATAAAAATAAATCAATAAAAAAGGATTAAAGAAATTATTACAAGACATCTGTATCACGTGCTTGATTATTTTGAAATTGTTAAATCTTTAACGCAGATAGATAACAATAATAACATAAACAATAAGTAATACGAAATACGCGTTATATTTATCGTTTTGTTTATATATTCAATTAAACATTGACTAAACATACATTATTATCATCAGCCAATCTAACAAAAACGCATACAAATAGGGGCAAAAAGAATAATGACTTGGGAAAAATTATTCTCTGAGTCTACTGAGTTTCCCGATATGATACAAGTTCTGAGACATTTACATGTATAATTTATACGTGTGTATGTACACAAAAGGCGACAATATGCTGAACGCCAACGAATAAATAAATAATATTAATAGTAATAAATATCATTTGAAGAAGGATCTATCCCGAACCAAATCGCACAAGACAACCAACCAATTAATAATCGCCAATAAAGCCGGAAATCTATTCCTTTGATAATGATAAAATGTTTATCAAAGAAAAATATGGAATTATGTTCTGTTGTTTTACATTTATAGCGAGTCAATCAATACTAGCTAGGCCTTTCTTGGAATGAATGAGATGAAATAATCATGCAACAAAGAAGTCGTATTTTTGTTTACCAACAACAATTACTTATAATAATCATAAATAATATAATAATATATAATAATAATAAATAATAACAAGTTACCTATAACAATTATTAATTAATAATTCCTTGCTCACCAATGAAAAAGTTCTTATTCCGTAATTTATACATACGTACATCTATGGCATTTAATACATGTCTATTTATATGCGTATTCATAAGTACACACTAATACAATAGATTGATAAGTTTGCAAAATTTGATTTGATCCATAAGATGACGTTCCGCGCAATTTACTAATAAGTTATTACTATGTTGTGATGTGAACAATTATAAAAATCAAACAAAGAGATCGATTATTTATTTATTATTTGATTTACATTATATTGTCTAATTAATTATTATTTCAAACAGGATCTTTTCTTACTCTGTATTTTCTGCTTTATTGTTTTTCCATTTATTGTAATTCATAAATAATGAACTCGCGAATTTATAAACGCGAAACAAATTAAAAATCTTGTAAAAGGAATAAAAAAAATGAGGAAAGAAAAAAAGGAAACTAGAAAAAGAGAAAGAAAGGAAAAAATTGAAAGAAAATATTTCATAAATGTTTTTGGAAGTTTTAATAAGTGAGTTTATTTATTAGTATTAGTATCTGGTGAATTCATTTACAAGCCCTTTTTCTTTTTTCTTTTTCGTATAAAAACGTTCATCATATTCCATAAATGTAAATGAGTAATGTCACACCGGCGCACTAAAATATCGGAGTTCTGGTTTCGGGTCGGTTATTACACTAAAACTTTCTTTTTTAAAAATGTTAAAACTACTAAATCCACTCCCTATTATTTACTATTTACCCTTATTATTATTATTATTATAAAAATGCGCACGTAAATCGGAATGAGAAATAATTGGAAGTTTTATTGATTTGCATATTACTAACAGAGAAAAAAGTATTCCCAAAATCAATCGTCGACTTTTTAATTGAGTTTACGGTGATCTGATCCTTCAAATTCAAAAGGTCCTTTCCCAAAACCTTTCCACCCAAAAAAATGAACAACAATATAATATAAATATTTTAATGGATAGGATAGGTAGGTTTCACAAACGGTTACAATTATTAATATTTATAAATTGGTATTCGAATAGCACAAAGAATAAACAAGAAGAGTTGTTATATAAAAGGTTTATTTTATTTTTCTCTAATTAATATTATAGAGATTTGATAATAATAAATATATTAAATTAAATCTATTTAAAATTAAAAATATTTAGATATACATGAAATGATGATTCTATTAAATTGCTCTAAAGAATAATAACGATGCAAAAAAGAATATATCACTGCTTGTTATCATCATCAATAATCAAGATTGCTGTTTCTTTTTATATGCACTGTAAATTTTTCCTATTTCGTTAGATGACATCCACTCATCTGGCCAAATTGCTAAAAGCTAATAAATTAAATATTTTAGTTTAAGTCAGTAAAATATTATATATTTTTATAAATAAATATAATTAATTACATGTTGATACAATTTTTTTCTAGAAGTTTGTTCAGATTGTCTTTCGGTTCTCTCTTCTGCCTCACTATTTATTATTATATTAAATAATTTTATTGGTGCTCTCTCATTTTTCAAAAATTATATACAAGCACCAATAAAAATAATAATAATGAATTAACAACTTACGCGAGTTGATTACACATCATTACGATAGACATTTCAGTTTGAATTATTTGATATAGTAAGGACTTGATATGATTATCCCATTTAAATTTTTTGGATACTGATAATTTCGAATTATTATTCGTTTTATTATTATTATTATTGTTATTAAATTTCTTTGATTTATTGGCACCATTGGCACCTTCATCCATATTTGATGGTGAAGATGGTGGCGACGTAGATGATGACGATGACGACGACGAAGAGTTGTTGGCGTTAGCAGATTCCATTTTTGCTAGACGTTCATTGTATTCTTTTAATAGTTTAGACATTGCTTCATCGACTGATGACTTAAATTGTGAAATCAAATCTGTTTTTTTAAATCGTGAATCGTGGATTGCCTTTGGATACATTGTTCTATAGCAAAGACGCTATATGTGAAAATAAAAAATTTTAAATTTTAAATTAATGATGTATTAATAAATCAATAGCTAATGTCAAGGCTTACTGTTATGGTGAATTTATTGTAAGGTAGAATGTTTGTCAAATTTTTGAAAAGATTTTCATTAAATTCACCAAGTTCATATGCTTTAGACAATAATTTAATCAAAGTAGGTTTAAGGCTTTGTGGAAATCTTGATTTGACTTGAAAGCTTTCTGAAACATATAAATAAATATTTAAATATCAAATCATTTTATTAACAAAAATTTTCATTTGTTTATAATTCAAACCTTTTGATATTTCATCTTTAAAAATTGATAAGATTTGTTGCAATTCAGAATTTAATGGTTCCTAATGAAAAATTAATCATGTCAGAAAAAAATTTTTATTAGTTAAATTTATTTTAAATAATCGATAAATCAACTATTACGCCGATAACATGATGCTAGTTACAATATCATTGTTTTGTTCTTTATGCTCTTTATGTTCTTTGGATCGGTTTTTATTAAGAGTTTTCTGTTGAGTGTCATCAAGCGCATTCGAATTGGAAGATGACGAAGATGGATCTTTTGATGTTTGCTGAATACTATCAGGTATATTATAAGGTACAATATCAATATCGCCCATGGCTGTTGTTGGATTATTATTATTGGAAGAAGAAGAGGAGGAAGATAAAGAATTTTCTAGATTGATTCCAGTTGTTGTTTCAGTAGCCGTGTTGGTTATGGTGGTGGTGGAGGAATCGCTATTCTTTGGTTTTCTTGGTTTTCTAGGTTTTCTTGTTCTTTTAGTTTTCGGTTCCTCATTCCCATTGCCTTTTTTGGCAGGTTCCTCTGATGATTTTGATTTGGTATTGTTATTACGTTTTTTACGAGGTTTTGGTGTGCCTCTTGTCTCCTCCTCCTCCTCATTGTTGTCTTTCTTTTTACGTTTATATGCTCTCTTCTTTCCAGGAGCCTTTTCATTTCTAATTAATTTAGTTATTTGTTATAAATAATATGTATATGTATATATATATATATATATATATCATCTTACATCATAACGACTTACGTATTTTCTAATTCTAATGGACCTCTCCATACGTAGAAACCTTCGATTTTAGGGCGAGGCTTATCTAGTCGAAATGGAACCATACCACTATCATCGATGAATGGATCAGAGATATCATATCTTTCTTGTCTTTTCTTTTTCCTATTA